AAGGTGAGCGTGTGACGCTATCGTAAAAATATTGGTCTAAGATGGTGACGCCTATGTGGCGAAGTACACCTCGTAACATACACGATGGATATTTCAATGTAGTTTAGCGAAAAATATTTCGAAAGGGTACCGAGAGATTCAGAGCAAAAAAAAAGAGTTAAAGACGTATTATATCGAGAATCGAAGTTCTTTCTTTTAGCTTGACTGGCTGATCCATATTTTGTACATCCAATTAGTTTATTGCAGTTCAAGAAACTAGGCATTAGCCAGTTTATACATGCAAAAAAGTACCAAATTCAAATTGTTTGTTTGTAGTTAAGCACAAAACTACACAAAGAGATATCTGTGTTCTGCCCACCACGGGTATCGAAACCCGGTTTCTAGCGGTATAAGTTCGCAGACATACCACTGTGTCACTGGGGGGGGGGCAAGTTCAAATGCCACGTTACAAAAGTTATGGTAAAATAATGCTGAAATTACTGGGGAAAATTAGTAATTTTTCACCATTTAAAAAAAAAATTCATTAGTTAATGATTAAATTCGAAACTATTATTAACTGATACATAGATTAATCACAACCATGCCCTAAACACAACAGAAGGCGTATGAGACTGAATAGTTATTATTTAGCAAAAGTTCGTTGTTCTCCCTGAATTGTTTTCTCTATTTTAATATCTCGCTATTGTTATGGGTTATTTCGTTGTTCTCTTGGTGACCATTATTTAAGGTTATTGCAACTCTCATATAGATTTTAGACTTGTAGTGGTTTTTGTTATATAATACTTTTAATTCATTGTTGTAACAATCTTTTGTGGAAGTTTGCTTCGTCAACCTTATCATAAGGGTTCTGCTAACTTTTCTCAAGTAAAAAAAAGTGAATGTTTGATATTACAAAGTTAGACTATTTGGATGTTTTTTTTTCTTTTACTCACTCAAAATATGTTTCATATTAATTTGGTTATTATTACAAATTCCAGAGAGGGTTCTAAATTTCCATATCTTTAACTAGTATTAAATTTCACTTTTTTATATTTAAATGGCAGTATAGTTAAAGAAGTACGTACAGCCTCCATGTCATGTTTTATTTCTATTGCTTGCGGGGAACTTTACCATTAGAAATAAAATATTAGAAGTATATGGAAATGATATATGTGGCTACTCTCCGCTTGGGTAGTTCGTTTAACGAAGCGCTGCTCTTGTCCAGTGTTACAGCTGTGTAACTCAAGTGCCAATCACTGTTCGTTTCTCTACGCAGAATTTATTATTCTCGAGTAGAATTTCAAGAGGGTAAATGGGAGTGCATTAATGGAACGCAATTAAAGTCAGTCCTCTTTTGGTAAATGTCTGATAACACTATCTATTAAAAAGGCCCGTACAAAGACTCAGACAGTCGTGTATCTTCATCCTTTTTAGGAAAACATCAGCATTGAATGGAGGGAGAGGTTGTACGTGTATTTGGAGTAGACTTTATTATGATTGTTTTTTTTTACACTTTTTGTTATCAGAAGTAATTTTTGTATATTTTCATGGACTTTTTTTTTTATTGAAAACGAAATCTTTTTTGATGAATTATAATATATCAACTTTATTCCTTGGTTTTTCTTCTTGATATACTTTAGTTCCTGATTTGGTTATAACTGATTTTAAGATTTTCTTAATCAATTTTCAATCAAAAAAGCGCGTAAATGTTTATCTTTTCTGACTCAATATTTTCCCTTGGAAATGTAGTATTTTTACAAAAGGTAAGTAAGCATTTGAGCTTATTAAATGTAATCTTTAATAAATTATTTCAAATTATTTTCTAAAGAAATTAAATTACCTGATAGTAACAGCAACACCATTTGAGATTTAATTTGGAGATCAGGGCGTAAATCCTTATGGAAGTCCAGGGACCGCAGAGTTCCTAAATCAAATAACATGTGAACTGGCATTGGATTTTACTATAGTTTTACAGCATACACCGCAGAAGAGTAAAACTGACACACTGATACTTAACTTTCAGGTTTTCTTTATCTTCATGGGGATGGAGCTCACAATTGTCGCCTCTTGATACACATTAAGAGAATGTATTTTTTTTTCTTTCTTGGATTGGAGCACGCTCGCGAGTTTGCATTTCAACTAGAAAACACATTGTTGTGATCACAGTGGCGAGTGGAGAGCTAATACCTGAACCAAATTTAACACTACTTTCTTAACCTACAATGAAAAAAATTATCACTCTGGTACTGACTGAACTGAAATATTGACATTTTATACCGACTAGTCCATACGTAAACTTGTGTTTATTTTTAAAGGTTAAACTCTATAACGCTGCTCCAAACTCTACTGCAAACCGTAAGGTTTTAGAGCTTCATATAAAATTGATGTAGAGTAAGAATTAAAATATTTGTGAACATGTTTCTATCAATAGATGCTTATCGGTAAGATAATACAATTAAATATACAGTGCAATAAATCTTCAATAGATTATAGAGAATTCTTAAAGTCATAACTAAAACGCAGTTCTCAATTTACACTGGTGAGGCTGAATTCAAAAGCCTACAGATGAAAGCAGAAGGATAATTGAATTAATGATTTGCGTGATTTCTTGTCGTCAGAGACAAAAATAAATTGCAAAGAACGATATAAATTGTCAGTTGTACACCTCATAGTGTGGTTGACACGTTATCTCGGTTCATTTTCACGTTGCTTTTATTTCCTAGTCGAGGTCCTAATCTAATAAAAACTTTTCATGGTAAACGTGTTTCGCGGTCAGAACATCAGTAATTGTCCATTATTCGATTGTCGTCTTTGTTCAAAAAAGGAAAAAAAAAAACACAACAGGAAACAGAAAAAAAATCGGTATTAACAGTAACGCGTTATTACGTCAGTTCCGCTCTATAGGTTTTGTAAAACAAGGCTTAATTTTTTTATTCTCTATTTTTCTACGTATACAAAAGTTAAAATGATAATAATTAATAAAATACTGCTGCCTTGTGATTGTGATTTCGTACGTTGAATGGCATTATCTGTGATGCAACACTGTAGAAACACATAACATTTTATGCCACTTACAGAAGATGGATATTGATTTGTTTACCAGATCTTTCGTCGACTCTAATTCACTTATATCTAGCATATGGTAAAACAAGTGGAAATCCACAATAACCACGGCAATAGCAATTATTTTAAGCAGGATTAAAATTGAAATTATTTTAGGCGAGATTAAAGTAAATTAATCTATGATACCTTGGGGTGTGGTAAAATACATCAATCGAAAGGGTTTGACCTCCTGAGCTCAAAACTGTAATTAGCTATAAGCTAAAATTAGTACTTGAAGAAAACAAAAACTCAGAGCCTTTCTAAGAGCCATTATACTGCGGCTGAAAATACTATTTCTTTATTTTTTTTAACGCCACCTGTAATAAGCACGTTGGAGAAGGAGATGATCACTTGAACTCCTATTTCATTCTCCATAGCTCATGGAAAGTTGTTGTGAAATTACACGTGCGGTTTGGCGTTTTATGCTGAATTAGTCATATTTTCTTGGTGTCCTGACCACTCAGTGCAGGAATTTCATCTCCTATATGTACATGATGTCAATAGTTCTCCTGATAATATAACCAGAGCTCTCATTTGTGTTATATACTATATATTTCTGAATTTTATAGTTCTCCTGATAATATAACCGGAGTTCTCATTTGTGTTATATACTATAGATTTCTGAATTTTATAGTTTCCATGATATGAGAAATCTGCGACAACCACAAAGCCTAACAAATACTTACTCTATATTCTGTAAGAGTAGCCCAAGAGCTGGCGGTGGGTGGTGATGACTAGCTGTCTTCCCTCTAGTCTTACACTGCTAAATTAGGGACGGCTAGCGCAGATAGCCCTCGGGTAGTTTTGCGCGAAATTCAAAAACAAACAAACTATATTCTGTAGAGCACAGATAGCCCATTGTGTAGCTTGTGCTCAACTACAAATGAACAAACAAAACTTGGTTGGAAGCCAATCGTCCCTTTCTCGTTGTCTTTGTTAAAGTACACCAATGATTCATCTAATGTTCAAACTTCATCTCTCAAGCGCCAAGAATTTTTCGCAGAGTTTTCAAAAGTTTATTTTTCTCTCATTACTTTTTTGGAGACAAGCTTGTACACTTTTTGGTTACGCTTCTTTACAAGGTCAAGATATTTGTAAATATGAATTATCTTGTACACGATGTGTGCAATTTGTTAGATCTCATTTTCTGGGAGGGTGTCCTGACAGAAGTTCTGTATCTCGTGGGATGCTGTTTGGGCTGTTTTACATTTCCATACGAGTTTTACTATGATCTAGAGAGTTTTATTTACATTTGCTGTGTCTCGTTTTTTACACCTCTTTGCTGTTTCGCTCTAATAATATCATTTCCAAGAAAAGGTTGCGCCAAAAATGCTTTAGTCAGAAGTCTATCCGTTACGGATATTGAAATGATCGAGAATTTGTTTGTTTTTGAATTTCGCGCAAAGCTACACGAGGGCTATCTGCGCTAGCCGTCCCTAATTTAACAGTGTAAGACTAGAGGGAAGGCAGCTAGTCATCACTACTCACCGCCAACTCTTGGGCTACTCTTTTACCAACGAGTAGTGTGATTGACTGTCACATTATAACACCCCACGGCTGAAAGGTGAGCATGTTTGGTGGTACGGGGATTCAAACCCGTGACCCTCAGATTGCAAGTCAAGTGCCCTATCCACCTGGCCATGTGATCGAGAGTTAGCAGTGGGCCAGATAAATGGGATCTAAACGTGTTGTCCATGTGGTTGTAGATCACATTTTCAGCGACAGGCTACTGCACTAGCATGTGCATCAATTGCATCATTACACAAAAACCAATTATAAACCACCGTTTAACGGTCTAGTTTCATCTCAATATGTATTAAGGGTGGATTATAATAAATTGAAGGTAGCATCTCTTTTTTTTTCTCAGAGAAAATAAACTGTATTCTGATATGTTTCTTATTTTTTCCTCCTTTCATTAGTGGAAGTTGAAGATATGTCAGAAGAAGGCGAAATGTATCACTTAAAAGTTCTAGAAAGTTCGAGTCCTAAAGAGGATTGCTCTGCGACCCATGGATCGTTAACTAATGAAATAGGGAGAGACGCACAAAAAGATAAAACTATGAATCTGCAGAATTTTTTACAAGAACAAAACAATGAAGAGGTTTTAAACTTTCCCAGTCCTAAAAATGGTTCTTTTAAGAACAGTTTTCAGCTCACGCTAAATATGACTGTTAGGAAGAGCAATGAGGATACACAATCCATCATCGAAAAACATTTAAATGGCCCTTTAAACCTTGTAAGTGACCTGAACAAGAACAGTGAAAGTTGTGAAAATAGCTCATCAAGAACTGATGAGGACTATATGGATGGCGAGGTAAAGTCACGGCTTGTCATCAAGGAGGAAACAGATGAAAGGCTGAAGACTGAGGAAGACAAAATTCAAGAGTACCTAAAACGAAGTGATACAGCTGTTATATTTCCAGAATCTCTTGGAAAAGGACAAGCTAGTCTCGCTAAGAAAAATAGACGGTGTCCTTCTAAAAGTAAGCCCTAGTCTTTATTCATGTATGATTCTGTAAGAGTTTTGAGTGTTTATTAACAGTGAACGGAAACGTAAATAGTTAAATCTGCCCTAAATGGACAAAACTTGAGAGGGTTAAATCCGCCTTAAATGGACAAAACTTGAGTGTTTAAATCTGAACTAAATGAACAAAACTTAAGTGGTTAAATATGACCTAAATGGAGAAACTTAAGTGGCTAAATCTGCCATAAATGGACAAAAGTTACGTGGTTAAATCTGCCCTAAATGGAAAAAAAATTAATGGTTAATTTTGCCCTAAATGGACAAAACTTACGTCGTTAAATCTGCCCTAAATAGACAATCTCGAAATGGTAATTATACGTGATTTGCCTCCAAAAACTATGTTGACTGCTTGTTTTTGATAAATGAAAAACACGTACACAAGCATTTTTTTAAATTGGCTTATATAACACGTATTTGTGCCTAAAAATGTTCTGAAAATTAATGCATTTCCTAATTGTATTAAAAAATGGGAAACAAAGACTTTTTAAAACATGAAAAATTTCAAATACTAGTGTGTGTGTGTGGTGTTATGTGTTTATCATATAAGTTTTTAGGTTATGTATCACTAACGACAAATATTGGGATGTTAGGTCACAGTAGCTATGCCGATTACAGTGCTTCCTTACCTAGACGTGAGGTACGCTTCCTACGATACAGAGTTTGAACTCGGGTGGCCCAATAGAATAAAGAACAGTTGTTTGGAACATTGAGCTTAATCGGTGCACAGAAGTATCTTGATTTAAAAAAAAAGAAAAATAGTTTCACGAAATATGTTATAATGAAATAATGTTTGAATAAGGTCATTGGTAAAATTGAAATTAACCCACAATACGATTTGTCTGTTGTTGAGCACAAAGTTGCACAATGGGCTGTCTGTGCTCTGCCTACTGCGGCTATTGAAACTCGATTTTTTAGCAATATAAACCCTAAGAACAAACGAAAAGTATATTAGTGTTTACTTCTAACAATTTAATTTACTCCACATTTATCAATGTCTGCGATGGTTAGTAAATATACATATTATAATATAGATTATTATAAAAAAAAAAACAACATTGCAAGACGTCATCCATGGAGTACAATGTGGTAGTAAGGTTACGGATTTAAGCTAGATGACTGTTGTAGCTTATGCAAAATATTTTTTACCATAAGATGTCACATTCTACTGAAAGCTCTCTCTGTTATTTCAATTGCTTATAAATTTGCAAATGATTGGTTGATTGCTAGCTTAGAAATAGTTGTTGACTTGGAACTTCTTAGAATACTGGTTGATAATACTCAAACTTGAGATACAATGTGCGTTGAGGTTAGTTCAAAACTTATTTTCAAAACTATTTTTAAACACTATTGTTATTAGGACATTAATATAAATGGCCCGGCATGGCCAGGCGTGGTTAAGGCGCTCGACTCGCAATCTGCGGGTCGTGGGTTCAAATCCCCCTCCCACACACATGCTCGACCTTTCAGCCGTGGGGGCGTTATAATGTAACAGTCAATCCCACTATTCGTTGTTAAAAGAGTAGCCCAAGAGTTGGCGGTGGGTGGGGATGACTAGCTGCATTCCCTTTAGTCTTTCACTGTTAAATTAGGAACGGCTAGTGCAGATAGCCCTCGTGTAGCTTTGCGCGAAATTCAAAAATCAAACAAACGAAACAAGCAAGCTACCTGATATAGTACATGACAGACATTACTTAATGCTGTCTCTAATGACACACAAGAACAATTGTGCATGCAGGCGAAATCCATTACCATCTCGAATTGTTCAACAAGTCAGTTCGTTTTGATCCACAGAAGCGAAATGTTTGTACAAGATAGCTTCAGAGAGACAAACCATCTAAAAGTACACCGAAGTTGAGACACCTTAGGATAGATTATCCACCTAGAGATGACGTATTTAATGTACGATCTTTAAACAGGGAGGAGAAAAAACGAGAGCTTAATTATACATAATGCTAAGTTGCATCAGTCAAACAGCACAAACAAATATGTTTATATGTATGTATTTGTCTGTGTATTTATGTATTATATATGGATTTGTGTAATTATTGGATTTTAGACGCAACGATGCATAATTAGCCTATGGTAGACCATGAATTAAGTTCAATATTTACTGTATTACTCAGAATATCGACCTCATGTTATACGTTTAGAGCATCACTAAGGAGACTTCTTGCAAATGTTGCTGGTAGAATCAGCCATGGCTGTCTAAAGTATCTTAGAAAGCAATCATTAGTGAGGGTTTAGTATCATTATCGTCGAACAGAAAAAAAAATCGAATAAAACTTATATACAGATATGTAACAGTTTTTTTCTTAACTTGTCTGCTTTGTCGGTTTGTTATAACACCGTCTTCTGAATCAAACATGCATATGATTTATATACATATTTTCTTCTCATTCAGTTTTGTTTATCGGGTTCTCGCGTATGAAAATACGACTTTATATTTTATCAATGTGCAATTACGATAGTATCTGGTTCTCGTAGTTCTGGAGAACACTGTCGCCCCTTTATCATCCCTTAGTAACGACATTTCAATCGATTTTTAAGTTGCTGTTTCCCTTTTTGTCGAGAGTTTCGATATACTTTTGATATGAAAATTAATGTCGAATTCTGGCCTCGTTGCAAACACTCTCTGTCCGTTTATATTTTTTTTAACGTTATCAGATAATGCAATGTTAGTAAATGATTTGATTGATATTGTAACAGAAGAGGTTGAAATCACAAGATTCTGCCATGCAGAAGGGAGTGAATAAATCAAAATAACCAATTTAATTATTAGCATTATATATATATATATATTATTGTAAATCCAATACCCTGCAAATATTTTAAATAAATCGTTTCGAATAATTACTTGAACTGGTTGTTTGATGTTAAGCACAAAGCTACACAATTGACTACCTCTGCATTGCTTATCACGGGTATCGAAACCGGTTTCTGTGGTGTTTTACGTAAAAAATTGAATGAGCTCACTGAATATTCTTGGCAACTTCTTTACGGTGAGTGTTGGAATAGACAAAAACAAAATTATTCACACGGACAATTTATGCCCCAAACTTGCCTCGAATAATATTTCACCTTTATATTTTTATGTCCCGAATCCAAAGACAGTTTTTCTCCTATATGGTGTTTTCGCGAAGAAATCGGGCCCTAAAGTCGGGAAATTTCACTATTAAGTATATATAGATGAAAATCACCACCCTTCTTGCGAATAAGCTAACGTGGCCTGGAGGTAAAAGCCGGTGTGTTTTGTTGTGCAATTTGAAAGTTCAAATCCAATCTTTGTCAAATTACTTTTCCTATGGAGTTTTTATAAAACTTTGTACAAAACTTATTGACTATGTCAAATAAAGTGCTTTTGAATGTCAAAATGTTACATCTTTTGGTGTTTAACATACCGACCAGCCTTATTAAGTCCATTGTACATTGGCATAGCGTCTAGTTGCAGCTGCGAACAACTGATTCACTCTTGGAGCAGGTACTCTTTTGCTTCTAGCCAGAATTAACAGAGAGCGGTCTTCTGTTTGAGTCGTGAGTGACGTAACATCATGTAAAAGTGTCATTCAACTTTACCCATTGGCTTGGAAGCAGTTCTACATTCTGCTAACAATAGGTTGGGAAGCTTGTTACCATGGCGAATATATTGCTCTTCACCAGGTTCCATTCGTCAAAAAAAACAACAAAAAAACTCTTCACATGGCTGAATCTGATTTGCATAACAGTAAACTGAGGGGTAATGACATTATTTTATAATGGTGGTGGCCGATGTAGTACGCGAATGCATATTATTTTACTATTTTGTGTAGTATCTAGCCTTCATTATGTTGCAGATGTATTTTCCGATGGTAGCTGCATGGCTATTCGCTTAAATTCACACACAGAGACATAAAGCTACACTGCATTCTACATAATAATAATAAAAGGAAATATTAGGAATTAATGGAACATCACGGAAATATATGATATTGTTTTGTTTTAGTAAAGGAACACAGCTCTAAAACATCATTGTTATTATCATCATTAATAATAATAAAAGGAAATGTTAGGAATTAATGGAACATCGCGGAAATATATGATATTGTTTTGTTTTAGTAAAGGAACATAGCTCTAAAACATCATTATTATTATCCTCATTACATCTCACCATCTGGAAAATCGATGTAGCCGTTAACCCACTCGAATGGCAATCATATCCAATCGTCTCTAGGGTAAAATAAAACTGATAGCTTTATATAGGTTGTATGGGAAGGGCAATAAAAGTACTTACGTAAAGAGCTCTATATTCAGAATGATAAAGAGGAGTATTATGAGAAAGGTGAAAACACGATACGTGTTTTCAGGGCGATTTAAACTTACCCTCACACATAGTCGAAATGTTGTTGGTATCGTGAGGTATATTGATTTTATAATAGAGGTATTGTTTTGTTTTTTTTAATCACAGTTCCAGCAAAAGAATATTTGGTATTTTGAAACAAAGTGTAGTTTAAATTCGCAATTTTGCTCGGAACTCTTGAAATGAGTAATTAGTATTAATAAGCCACAACTGAAACCCTAAGTGGAATATGTGGAAGGGAAGTAATTAATCTATTAATGAAGACTAACCCTTCGAAGATGACAAGGATGAACAATCTTCAACTAAATAAACTAAAATCGTGTATATATAGTAAATGAGAATTAAATCTATGAGGCAGGAGAACTGGAGAATTAAAAGAGCATTCGGAAATTAATAGTCTCCTCTAATGTTTAAGATATTTGAGTTCCCTTAAAATATCACAGGTGTAGAATTTCATGAAAATTAACTAAAGTTTTCTGCTGGTTCGTCTATACAGCACCCACAACAGTGCTGCTGCTTCTGTTTTGGGCCCTCCTCACATTTCTTATATATCCCCCTTTTCACATGCTCCCATACTTCGTCTTGGTGCGTACAACACCCACTACAGTGCTGCTACTTCTGTTTGG